GAGCTCCTGGATGACCCCTCCGTTCCCGGGTACGGGACACCAAAGCGAGTGTATTCGACACGGTCTGACTCTTTCCAAGCGTTAATTTCCATGTACAGTAGGTCCTTGAAACGACATCTTTAATCCACTTGATCACCTCTTGCTTATGCACAATGCTAACTGACTGCCTTTGATGAGGCATTATTGGAAATGACGGGAAAGTGTTTCTCTCTGTTTGTAATAGCAGATTTGGTAGTTTTTATAAGGACTCTATTCAGGAGGGGCTTGTATTTAATAGTGCAGCATCACCCCACAGGACACTATTCGGTAGGGGGCTTTTATTTCGTGGGCCACTCCTTTAACTAAGTTTAATAATTAAAAATGTTGGCTACTTCGCAGACACACAAGGGGGTCGTTTTCCCAGGGGAAATTGTGCTAAAATGTTACCGCTTCACGTCCCCAAAAAAATCCCGTAATCCTGTCCTCCGTTAGAAATCAAAATGCGCTGACTTTTCAGCACTCAAAAATTCGGTAGCATATTGTCAAGGCTTCTTCGTGCAGTATGCCGCCGTCTTCTACAATCGCTCGTTGGCTTCTTCTTATCAGCGCAGCTTCCCTGTCCGCCTGTGTCGCATCCAGCAACGACAGCGACGACGACAGCGTGGACTATGTGCGCTGCACGTCGTTCGAGCAGTGCTGTGAGATGTGGGGCGAGGACTCTAAGCGTTGCGAACGCGGGCCGTGCACTGGCACTTGGATCATGCGCAAATTCTTCTCGCTCAGTATGCCACTCGACAGTATCACAATCTGGGATGTCATCTGCACTGTTTACAGTATGGTACCGTACCTGGTGCTTATCGCCATCATTATCGAGGCACTGGTGCGCTCGCGCCGATACACGCGCGTGTTTGCTATCCTGCTGCCGATTATCCTTACGGTACTCAACACTGTCATACTGGTGAAGATACTGGGTGACTGCGACGAAAGTCCACGTCCTGCAGGCTCATGTCTCGTAAGCAATGGACTGCCATCGGGCCACGCCACGAACGCTATCGGACTGTGGACTTGGGTTGTCCTCGAGACGATTGTGGGCGTTGGAGAGCAGCTACGCCACTGGTCGGCCAGGCAAAAAGCGGTCGCGGTGTTTTTCACCACTCTTGTGTTGACCCCCGTGCCCTACAGTCGCTACTACCTTGGTGACCACACGGCACTGCAGGTCGCGGTCGGATCAGCTGATGGACTCGTGCTGGGAGTCGCTTACTTCTTTTTCATCCGATGGCAAGGAATGCATCGTGCCATCGACACCCTCGCTCCTGGACGGGAACGGGAACATTATCCAGTCGGAATTCGACAAGATCTGGCCGCTGCTGCGTGTGATGGCGCGTTCGTCACCAAAAGACAAGTATACGCTAGTGACAGGTCTGATGCAGTCAAACCTGATGCCCTACGGCCCACAGGTTGTTGCTGTCACCGGCGACGGTACGAACGACGCTCCTGCTCTAAAGAAGGCGAATGTGGGCTTCGCGATGGGTATTAGTGGAACCGCTGTGGCCAAGGACGCCTCCGACATTATCCTTATGGACGACAATTTCACGTCCATCGTGAGCGCCATCAAGTGGGGCAGGAACGTGTACGATTCCATCGCCAAGTTCCTCATGTTTCAGCTCACTGTCAACGTTGTGGCTATCAGCCTGGCATTCTTGGGCGCTGTGATTCTTGAGCAGTCCCCGCTTACTGCTGTGCAGCTACTGTGGGTGAACCTTATCATGGATTCGTTCGCATCGTTGGCTCTAGCCACAGAACCTCCAACGCAGGCTCTTGTAAAGCGACGGCCATACCCGAAGACCAAACCGTTGCTCTCGAAGATCATGACGAAACAAAGGTTGTGCACGAACAATCGAGCTGGCGAAGCGTTTCTCCCACGGCGTGCACAAGAGAGCGCAAGCCCACCTGTAATTATCAAACGGGTAAATTGTTAGCTGGTGAATCCTGACTGACCCACAATTGCGTCTACACGTACAGGAGTAAACCCGCTGCATTCGGAGAGAATGAGAAGTGAATAGCCAGTGACGGATCGGTTGGCTCGAAGCTGGTGTGCCATTTCGACCAGAAGAAAATCACTGATCTCTTCGGTGTAAGGTCGAAGGTCAAGGACATCGGGATCCCGCTGCTGCTGCAACTTCAGAATAGCTGTGGCGCGACCAGCCATCACCATTGCTGCCCGTTGGATCGCAAGCCTCTTTGCTTCTAGCTCACTTATGCTTTCGACATAAAGCGCGGGATTGTGGCCGTGGGGCGGGTTGGTCTGGTGCGTAGGCTTCCGAGCATTGGCGCCAATACCTCCGGTGGATGGCTTGCCGGCCGATACTGCTGGCATTTAGTTAGTCACCGAGTCGTCCGCCCATCCATAAGTCGTTTCACAATGTCATATTAAGTGATTCCAAATCCGACAAAGACCATTGAACAAGCAGTCTGTGGATGCATGTTAGTTTGACAGTATTGATGGGCGGCAGCATCATCTGTCTGTCTGTGCGTCGTATATATACCAAGTTTACTATGATCGATGGACAAGAGCGACCGTGCCGCCGTGCTGCTCACGACGACACTGACTTAGGTAAAGTATAGTTTATATTAGTTTATGTATCGAATAGAACTTGCGGAGAGGCGTACTGGCTTGCGTGAGGCTTGCTCTCTCTCTCTCACAATTTAATTTGCGTATATATCCCAACCACTTGTATGAGTTTACAACCACCAAGACGTGGCCAATGTACGAGTAGATGACGTCAGAGCCGTGACGCATCTTGAGGTTCTCCAGGATGGACGTCTCGCTCACGGAAGGCAGCAGCATCAGGTCATCCACACCCACTACTACGCGTTCATCCGAGAATAGTGCTGCGTGCTTGGCCGCTGCTGTAGGCTTGCGTCGCCCCATAACCGGCCGAGGTGAAGTTGCTACAACTGCTCCAAGGGAGAAGTCCTGGACTGAGGGGAAATCGAGACGGAATCGGTGCGACAAGTGCCGTCAACCGAGGCGACTTTGTACCGGTACTAAAACCAGTATTCGTTGTTTTTCTCTAAATAATTTTAGCTGTAAAAAACTTTGAAAGAAAAAAACTCTAAAAACACACCAAATATGGAGAGAGGAGAGTCAGACTAACTTAGTTACTACACCTCTGGTCCGAAATGATGGATAGTATGCTACAGGATTGTGTAATATTCCATCCTGTAACATTATACATGTATCATATTGTGCGAAACTCAACCGAGAGATCTCCTATCGAAAAATCTGGCAAACCCAGCTGTGCTGGCGTCCCCACATCACTGTCGCGACTGAGGAAGTCAGCTTCCGCTAGTTAACAAGCTCTTAATCAATCGGCAGTTCACAGATCACCTCTTTATCAAAAGAGACC